GTTTTATTGCGTTAGATGTTTTAGCCTGTGTATTTTGCTTTAGCTCAGTCAATATTTTTATTGTCAGACTTACTCCCAAAGACAGACAGTTTTATCGAATCATACGCTGTCAATGGTTGTTCACTTCCACAATTTAGTATGCTTGTTCATATCAGCAGCGAACTGTACTGTAATGTGAACCATAACCCTTTTGATAATGACTTTGATATGATTTGTGGGTGCACACCCAATTTCAGGAAACAGTGTTCACATCGTCCAAATTAACCAAAGTCTGATGTCAATTGAACCTGTGTGAAAGCAAGAAGCGGCTCGTTTCAGCCAGTCTCAGATCAAGCAGCTCCTCAATGTAGCAAAGATGCCACCCTACAAAAATATCCCATAATCCAAACGTGTATTCATATCTGCTGAGATGCACTTGTAAAACTCCTCTACCCCTCTCTCTTCTAAATTTGATCTTAATGGGTTTTACACCAGTATTACAATCACCAAATCAAGCTCAGTCTAGTTTAAACCACTTATAAGCCAACATCCATATCAAAAGTTTGTCTCATTTGGTGATTGGTGAGTGAATGTTAATTTTAGACCCTGTCAGCACTCTGCAGACTATTTCATGTAATTTCTTAAACTTGTGCGTTCACTAATACTTCTCATCCCAAAATAGGTCCTCTCTGATGATGCCAAGCAGCACTGGATTGATCAGTACAACTGCTCTGCCGATGTCTGCTCGCACGCGTACTGGTAGGTGCTTCTATCAAGTCACTTCAGAAATGAAAATCCAAAAGATTTGCGCAGTTTCACTTGATTCCTGAATCTCATCAAGTCAGTTTAAGTTTGGAAATCTCGTCACAAGTAACTTTGTTTGACAGGCGAGGGAACTGTAAGAAGGTGTCCGTGGGGCTACAGTGTGAGATCGGGCTGCGCTGCAGGACATACTTCGTCCTCTGTGGCTCCGTCCTCAGCGTGTGGACCAAAGTGGAGGGAGTTCTGGCCTCAGTCAGCGGATCCAATGTGAAGATGCAGATTGTACGTTTGAGAACAGAGGATGGGCAGAGAATCGTGGGTAAGTTGTCAAACACACACACACACACTAGGGGTGGAACGGTACATGCATTCGTATTGAACCGAAACAGTACAGGCGTCACAGTTCGGTGCACTAATTTACACGGAGAAAACATGGTATAAAAATATAAATAAACTTGCGTGCATATTAATTAATATAATGTGGAACAACTGTTAGATACGCGGGTTCTTTAGGGACACAATCTGTTCCATAGGCTAGCTCTGAACGTGCGTTCAATTCAAACGTTGGCTAGCTTGGCTTTATACGCGCATCCTCGCTTTGGACTGGAGCCGAACTAGACGCGATAGACGCGAATTTGGCGCTCTATTTGTGTTTGGTGTGACCGCATAATGAACAGGCTGCGATGTCAAGATTGCAATGATGAGTGTGTGTGTGTGTGTGTGTGAGAGAGAGAGGCGTCATAAAACAGTGGAAAAATAAACTGTTCTTATATTTGTGTACATTCGCAATAAAACACAACATTGTGCTTTTGTCACACTGTAAACTCTTGACAAACTGTAACATACAACCGTCACCCAACCAAAATCACACACACACTGTTTTAAAAGCAAAACATATTTATCCAACTCCATTTCAAAACAGTCTGTCGGTCCCATCTTTTGGACATTCGTCATATTCCTCGGAGCACTAATCTTACACTTTATACATTGATTAAAAAAAAGTAAATCGAATGGTTTTTTAATGGTAGTATTATTTTATACAGAAATCAATTATTTATAATTCAGATGAGAATAATGTTACATTGTTAATTAATAATGTTAATTAAAATTAAGGAAAACAAATATATCGATCTGAAATATAGGAAAATAATTTTAAATTAATTCATGTATAATTACCAAACATGTCACAAGGTCTTTTTTGTCTTTTTATTCATTTAATTAATAAACTAATTATATAAAATTACTGTCAGTGCACTACAAATAAACTGGTTCTGTGCCTTTATTAATAAAACTTCTTTAAAAAATACAATGCCTTCTGTATTTTTGTTTTGCTTTTTCCTCCGTTGTAACGAACCGTGATGTCTGAACCGAGTTGACTTCTGTGTACCGTTCCACCCCTAACACACACACACACACACACACACACACGCGTATATATAAAATGCAAGTCACGGCGTCACCTGAGTTTTTAAATGTAAATCTCCCATAATGTAACTGACAAATTAGCAATTTAACATCAGAGGTGTTGAAAATTCAGACTTAGAAAAAGAAAATTAATACTTTTATTCTGCAAGAATGCCTTTAATTGATCAAAAGGGACAGTGGTGACTTATACTTTTTACACAAATATAAAGCAGCACAACTTTTTCCCAATTAATCCTTTATCTTGAGCCGCAAATCATCATCATATTAGAATGATTTCTGAAGGATCATGTGACTGGAGTAATGATGCTGAAAATTCAGCTTTGTAATATATTCAGATTTATTTCACACTATTTCTGTTTTTATTGTATTATTGATCAAATAAATGTAGCCTTGGTGACATTATTAGCCTTTCACAAACATAAATCTTACCAATCCCAAACTTTTGAACAGTAGTGTACATTGTGGTTCTAAAAAAATACAAGCAAAAGATGACCGGTTTGATTTCAACCCGTTTCTTTTTTTTCCCGCTCAGGTCTGATCATTCCCGCCAACTGCGTGTCGCCCCTGATCAACATCCTGTCATCATCAGATCAGTCTCAGCAACTGGCGGTGCAGCAGCAGCAAATGTGGCAGCAACTGCATCCGCAGAGCATCAGCCACACCGTCAACACATAGCGTGACGAACCCGCCTCTCTTTAGGGCAGATGTGGCATTATAAGCCGGCCAGCCTCCCTTCTTCCGGTACACTGTGAGAAAGACAGTGCTTGTGCCGTATTAAATATTTCAGGGTTCGTGTCCAAAGAGGACTCATTGCCAAAGGAGCTTGCTGGACGAGAGAATCGGAGCTCTGCGCGTCGGAAAACCGCACTGAGAAGGGGGCGAAACTGGACGATATTTGGTCAGACTGTTTCCTTTTCACAACCTCCAGTCGGCTAAATCATCGCCTGTGCTTTCCATCGACATACGTGGCTCTGTGAAGTCACACACACTACTATGTACACAGGACAGCGCTCAGGGGTTACTCGCAATCGAGTTTTCTTTTTCATTTTCTTTTTGTTTTTTAAACACGCCTGTCTCCACCTTTAGCCTTGTGACCCAGCATGTCTCGGGCATGACGCTGCTTGTTTACCACTTAACACAGTCCCTAATTTGAAAGCAGGGACGCTCTGGCTCACCGACGGGTGTAAACCCAAGCCTGAAGACTTTATCAGAAACGTTGCATGGTTTGGTGAACCCTTCGGATTTAGTTTAGTTTGTGGAAGCGGGTCAGCGTCTGGGAGGTTGATGTTTTCGCCGCTTCCCGGTGTTGCAGTTTGAGTGTTTAATGCATTTGTAAACTGGAATGACCTTTTACAAAAGGCCACATCAATCAAAGCTTTTGCTGTTTTTCCATTTCTTGCTTTTAATAAGTTGCTGTCACACGTGTTACTTGGGATAACGAGCTCCCGAACCTCATTTCTGCTGTAAATGTGTGAGTTTGACACACGCTCGGTCTCTCTACTATATCTCGATGTATAGTTGCATATCTGAAATGTCATGTTTTTGCTGAATTGTAGATGTTGCAGCACTCTGAACTGAAGACAATGCCATTCATCCTTGCACGAGTTGCACTACTGATGGATCTGTTGTACAAAGAATCAATGGAAAAAAATTTAACTGACTGCAAGATCTCTACCTCTTGCATATGACCAATAAATCTTGTGGATTACATCTATTTCAATATGTCTTTACTTAAAGGGAGCCACTTTTTTGTTCTTTTGGGGACTTTTGGTGTTTGGCTTTCTTTATCAAAGTGCTAAGGGCAATTATTTGGTGAGTAAATGTATAAATCTGGTTCCCAAAGTCATAAGTTTTATAAAAAATTAAAAAAAACAAAAAAAACCTACAAGGTCACAGTTATTTCAGTGTAAAGTATTTAAAAGTACATTATGAACAAAGCTTGAGAAGAATTAGACCTTAAATATAATTAAATCACATTTTTCTCAACTAAACTAAATCCTTTTGGAATTTGATCTTACCATCTGATGTTTTTTTGTTTCACACGCAAAAAAAATAAGTTAATCTATTATGAAAATGTACAAGTACTTTGCGTTTTTATTTTCAAAAGAAAAGCATTTTTTTGTAAAACACGAAAATAAAAATGTTCCTTAGTAAAATACATTAAAAAAAAAATGCAAACCGTTGTGATAACGGGCAGTCTTTCTTTATTAATAATTTTGTAACTTCTCCAGTTGCCACGGTGTTGATGGAAAACGTCGGTTTATTTATTTTTTTGTATTAATGATGTGTTAATTGTCTTGAGTTCTTTGTGATGATGATGGACAGCAGTGTGGGTGTCATGAGGAGTGACGCGGCCATATTTGCCGGTGCTGCTCTGCTGTAAACAAAAAGTGTCTGTGAGACGGACGCTCCGCTGATTTTAGGGACAATTTTATTTCTCTCATTTATTAACTCTTCAGGTATGTCTTACAAACCCAATCCCCATCAACACCTTCCGGGAACTTCTGGGAACCAAGGTATGCCGAAAAAGCGAGGGAAACTCTTCGTCTTGAGTGTATTTGATCGAATGTAAGAATTGGCGTGAGAAAGAATACCTGGGGAAAAGCCGTGTGTAGTTTTTGTCCAGTCTGATCGCTACAGGGTCAGATCCTTCACATCCGCCATTATTACTAGTGAAAAAAACGCTTTCCTCGCCTTCTATAGTGCTAAATATCGGCTTGAGGTACATTTTCGGGTTCTTCCCGAAGGGTCCGCGTCGCGCCGTGGCCGGATGGGTTTGTGTGGAGGCCGCTAGATTGTGATAAAAATGAATCCTTTTAGCGGCTAAGATCAAGCCCGTGCCGTTTCCTCCATGATTGTCTCTTGGGCTGTTGATTGATCGGATTCAGACGTGCAGTTTTTTATTGCTCTTTGGGGACACCTAGTGGTCGACGGTGGTATCGCATGGAATGAACGTGACGGAGACCGGGGCTAGTTGTCACAGGGGTTGCATGTCAATGGGATCGAGACAAAAGGCCAATTACGCAAATGCTCACAGAATTTTTGTGCCTCGACACTATCTATCTGTCAGTCTGTCTAGAAATAATCTATTATACACTTATGTAAATCGTAATTTGTTGTTTCATACAGTGAATGATTTGTATTGTTGTTCACTCTTTTAACAGGAAACATTCCTTCTCCGTCTTCAATGGCAACAATACAGTCATACAAGCCAATTCTAAATGACTTTGGACCACCTTCATTGGGATTCCCACAGGTAGGTGTCATGGTTATTATTGCAGTTAAAGTCACCATGAAATCAAAATTATAATTTTTTTTAATGAATTATGGCAGTAGTTATAAATAATTTATCAGTTTTCCTCCCTCCTGCAATATCTCGGCTGCATCCGTGATCGCATACTTCCCTACTATATAGTAGGCGAAACACAGTGTGTCACAAAATAACTGTCCGAATTCACAGTACTCATAAACGAGTAGGCAAAAAGTACCCGGATGACCTACTTTTTCCCGGTTAGAATCTGAAGTGTGCATATGATGGACACTTTACTATCCCATGAGGCCACGGGAGAGGATTTATGAATGGCAATTAAGTGACGTAACTGATACTGGTAGATCACATGATAATGACAACATGGCGAATGTAGTCCAGATTACATTCATACTATATAGAACATAACTTTTTAGTGATTAAGTAATTACTTATTCATAAGAAGTATATATAGAGGATTATATAGTGAGCTCGCCATTTTGAAGTGCCGTCCGAATGTATAGTGATGATTATTATACACTAAATAGAATGCATTTTGAAAAGTAGTGTACAACCGATGGTCACTAACCCAAGCCCTACATACCATCATGCATTGCGCTGATTGTAAAAATAAGTTATAATCATGTGTGGAGTAGCACATTATAACAGAAACAGCCAGAAATGACTTTTAGTTGTTAAATTTTGGAGAAATAAGCTCAATCAAAATATAATGTAAAGTATTTATTTACAAAAATCTATTTAGCCCAGACCCGGCTCGGCACCAGCTGACAGATGATGTAATCAACGGCGCCGAGAAACGATCGAGTAGTGTCCGAAAGTGGTGTTTTTATTATGCTGGTGAGCTCACTCTATAGTGCTCTACTCCCTACCCCCTACATAGGAGTAGTGGTTTTAGTGGAGATTTCGGACGCAGCCCTCTTCTCTGATGACTTGCATGAGGGCGGGGAAACCGGTCACTCACATGAGATCGACCAATAGCAAACCACAACCATTCAATAAACTCCCCACAGACAATTCTGTCTTGTTTAAAATGTTGTTTCACTCAGATATACGTCACAATAGGGCACTAAAGACCGCCAGTTTCATGCCGACAGTTTCGTTACTTGGAATAATATAAAATAAAACTGTATTATTAATGACAAAAAAATACAACTAAATTACTGAAACTAATTTTTTAGTAAAACAGAAAAAAAACTCATTCATAATATTAACCATAAAAGTACCTAAAATAACACGGGTAGGTTTGATACTCATTCTGTCATAATAAGCATATTTTTAAAGGGTAGTTCACCCAAAAATTATAATTATCCCATAATTCAAGCCATCCTTGGTGTATATGACATTCTTTTTTTAGCCAAACGCAATCAGAGTTTTATTAACAAATACATAAAGGCCTTTATTAACCCACTGGAGCCGTGTGGATTACTCTTCTGATGGATGGCTTCAAAATCTCATTTACTATTTACTCCCATAAGTAAAGCTTTGAAGAGTTTAATCATTAAGAGAATAATTAAATTTTTTTGGATGAGCTAATAACCCTTAATTTTTTCCCGTTTTATATCATGTTTAGGGTCCAAATGGAAACCAAGTACCTCAGAGTAAATATGCTGAACTCCTCGCCATCATCGAAGAACTTGGGAAAGAAATAAGGCCAACATATGCAGGGAGTAAAAGCGCCATGGAGCGACTTAAAAGAGGTTTGTGAACTAAATCTTTGCTAACACTTTACTTGAAGGGGTTTGCTTTATATAAGACATCATAATCATAATCATGACATGACATAATATGAATATGTTTTATGCATGTTTGTGACAACTGTCATTAAGTGTCATTCGCTCAGTTATGACATTTTTAATGCAAATATGACATAGTTTTTGTTATGACACCCTGACATAAACCAATACATCATAACCTGTCAGTGTCATGACAACTTGACATTATTAAGACAACACAACCTGTCATAAACATGGCATAGAAGATTCATTATAAAACTTAAGAAACCCCCTAGCTTTATTGGTTAACATTTCATTAAACGGTCAGGTGGTGGGTTTTGACATTGGCTGTCATGAAGCCATTATAACTCTTTAATGACAAATTTAATTAGTACCACTGTAGTTCATGACACAGTTATAATGGCCTCACGACAGCCAATGTCAAAGCCAACCACATGACAGTTTATCTTAATTTAATGTCAAGTTGTCATAACAAAGACACTGACAGGTTATGATGTTATGGTTTATATCAAGGTGTCATAACAAAGACATCTTAAACAATGTCATATTTGCATTCAAAATGTCATTATTGAGCGAAAGACACTTAATGATATGTCATGTCATGGTTATGAAGGTGTCATGTCAGTCTTATGCACACCCCTTCAAGTAAAGTGTTGCCAAATAAGAGTTTTAACATGTTATACTTGCACAGGAACTCAAATATCGCGTCTTTCTTTAAAGGTATCATTCACGCCAGAGGGCTCGTCCGTGAGTGTCTGGCAGAGACAGAAAGAAACGCGAGATCCTAGCGCCTCCTTCCTCATTCTCTCCATCCGGCTGAAAGAACTGTGTCTTCTACACCGTCACACGGGAATCATGCATGCCTTTCCTTTGAGGGGGATAAAACAATCAACAAGTGGAGCATTTATGTTACGAGTCGCGCTTCTCATCTGTGGTGTGGAGGGAATAAGGCACGACGCAGAGAGTATATCATCATCTGATTTATAAATGCGAGAGATCTGGAAGAACTGTTGCCATTTGAGTTGTTTTTATATATTTCATTTTCTTTGACCACATAGTATCTTTAAGAACAAATTAGCAAAAATGCATGCAACCGGATTAACGGTCCCACATTAGAATCTGCATGGCTTTTACAGGTTAGACTAGGTATGTGCTTTTAGAAATAGCTCTCAGGATGATATTTTCTCCTCGGACACTCTCGCGGAAAGCCGAGCGTCGGGGAGATACTCCAAAAGTATTATAGTGATGCCATTACTTTCGTCTTTATTTGTATTTATTACCTTGTGTAATACAATGTATTTTCATGTAAAGACAAAAAAAGGTCACTCTTTGGAATTTTGTATATCTGTCAATAAATATGACATTCATTGTGTATGAAATGCTTTTGTTTATTGTTTTGCAAAATACTTTTTACTATCCTCACAAAAGTGGACAAGATTTTATTGTTGCTACAATATATAACTGGTAAATTGATGATCCACCTAAACAAGAAATTAAAATAACAAAGATGCTCACGTTTTTGATGAAGAAAGTGTGCTATGCTTACCATAGTAATTATTTAAGGCTTTATTGTGTAATTAATTAGCATGTTTAACTAATCCAAATAATGCTGTCATTGGTGGAATATTTTATTAAAGGGATAGTTCACTTTGAGATTAATTTTTGGTATGTTTTAGCTTATCTCAAGGGCATCCAAGATGTGGGTGTCTTTGTTTCCGCAGTAGTTTCAATTTTGATATTTTTAGGTCAAACCGTTCTTGTCTGTCAGTCATATAATGGAGGTCCATGGTCACCACCTCAAAGAGCATGCACAGAGAAGTCCAAATTAGACATGATTTAATGACTCGTAAATGAAAGTACACATTGATGGCCTAAGACACGAAACGAGCGGTTTGTGTGAGAAAACGGACAGTATTTATATCGTTTTTACCTCTTGTAACCACAGCCACCTCCAAGTGATCTGAGGGCACGGTTGCTTTTTGTGGCCGTTTTCTCACACAAACCACTCGTTTCGTGTCTTAGTCCATCAACGTGTACTTACATTTACGAGTCATTAAATCATGTTTAATTTGGACTTCTCTGTGCATGCTCTTTGAGGTGGTGACCATAGACCTCCATTATATGACTGACAGACAAGAACGGTTTGACCTAAAAATATCAAAATTGAAACTACTGCGGAAACAAAGACGCCTACATCTTGGATGCCCTTGAGGTAAGCTAAAACATACCAAAATTCATTTCAAAGTGAACTATCCCTTTAATCCTAAAATCAATAGTGGAAATGGTCATGGGCTGTGTGATTACAGGTCAAGAGTATCTAAGTTTGTGTGGCCACTGGCAGTTTATGCTTTATGCTCGCAACAGATTGCATTAAAAACATTGAAATAAATTATTGTAACGATGAGGCTTCTCGGCCCTGTGAGGGATTGACTGTCCTTGGAAAATGCTACATCTTGCCTTTGATAAAGGGCTGACCATCAATTGGTAGGTTTCCACCATTAGAGAAGAAAGGAGAGAGAATTGACACTTAAAACGATACTGGAAAAATAACAGAAGAAACCGCTAAAAAAACTTAAGAAAATGGGTATACATAAGAATGGTGCCCTGGCCAGAGACAAACTCATATGTCCTGCAGGAGTCTCGGCTTCGTTGCTTTGTTCAATAAAGTCTTATTTTGACTCTTGAGCTTCATTTGCAAGAAAGAAAAGACCATTTCCACAACATAATATAGGTAATGAGCACAAATTAACTAATTGAATTTTGTAAATTTATGATTGTGTTGTAAATTTGTTGTACAATCTGTAACTTTTCATTACTTATTTTGGTGATTCTTTAGTTGCTTTTCACCTAAAAGGGGGATATGATGATATAAGATCCATATTATAGATTAGATCCATATTAATTTGTGAAAGTGTTTTCATGACAATTGAGGACTTTTTTCTCTGCATAATTATCAGTATTGTAATGACTCCTGGTATTCTTTTTAATTTCAAAAGTGATTTTCATTTCTGCAATAATACAGATGTTTTTTATTGTATTAAGCTGGGCAAAGTACATTTTTAGGTAAAATAAATTACTTAATTGCGTTACACTTTATTTTAAGGTCACGTTTACATTGTACTTACTCAAATAAGTGCTAAGTAATATTAATTAACTACATGTTTGGTTTAGGGTTAGTTACTTGTAATTATGCATAATTTACTGTTATTATAGTAAGTACATGTAGTAACGTGCAACTACGTTACTTTAAAATAAAGTTTTACCCTTAATTATTATAAAAATAACGTCACAATGCAACAAATAATCGTGTCCCAAAAATGCTTAATTTTCTTTAAGCAAAATATAATCTTTATTTATTTATTTTGAATACTGACGGAAATAGAACCTCGGCGTTTCAAGACCAATCAGAACCACTGTTGTGGTCTCAAATTGCGCAGAATCCTGCGAAGGAGCCAATCACAGAGACTTAAGGGACGTTGACTGTTCGTCCTGACCAATCAAGTAACGCCTTTCGAACTCATTCGGCCAATGGAGATTCGCGGCGCAGTGTGTCGTCGTTGCTTGCTTAGCTTAGAACGCTAGGAGGTTGAGCGACAAGCAGTCAGTGACAGATGAAGAGAAGGAAAGAGAGCGCGCGCGGCACATGAGGAAATGTCAAAATGGGAGAACAAGTGATGAGAAAAAGTAACAAGTAAGTGCCGCGTTACTTGGGAGTTATTATCACGGTAACGTTAACTGTGTCAGCGCTTATGTTTGGTGGCTCGCGGGATGCAGCTGCAGAGGTGATGCGCGCGCGTGCTGTGTGTGTGGAACAGGAAGCGCCATAGCGAGAGCTATCTGTGTTTTGCTGGCATGTCCACATCTGTGAACCTGCTTCACATCTTCTAGATAGATATGCAATAAAACACCACCAACTGGGTTTGTAAGTTGACAGATTTGCTTTGTATTGTTTCTTGATCTGATGACATAATGTGTGTGTGGTTCTGGCTTTATGGTTGCATATAACTTGCTGTTGGTCTCCATCCAAGTTATTAACAATGAATGACATTTGTTGTGTGAATATGTCAGACTGCACACCGCGTATTTACCAGATGTGGCCATTCTTGATTATGCCTTAACCCTTAAAAATAATATAATGAATGATGCGTTATATTCTAAGTTCATGATAGTCGTGATACATCGTTGTAATGTAGATTAAACTCTTTTTTTCTGCTGCTTGTATTTAAGGTTTTTGCATATTTTATTAGGGTGTAAACAAACGAATCCCTTGTGAAAATTGAGTGTGCTTAATCCTATTGAATCGTAGTTGTATTGTACTTCAAATCTTAAAAGTGTATGTATAACGTTATGTGTTTTTTAAACTATGCTTGCAAATAATATAATATAATATTAATAAAATAAAAGGCCACTTCAGGAGAGTAAGCTTTTTATGACCGTTTCTTAAAGGAGTAGTTCACTTTTAAAAAAAAAACTTTTGCTGATAATTTACTCACCCCCATGTCATCCAAGATGTCCATGTCTTTCTTTCTTCAGTCGAAAAGAAATGAAGGTTTTTGATGAAAACATTCCAGGATTTTCTCCATATAATGGACTTCAATGGGTACCAAATGGTTCAAGGTCCAAAATACAGTTTCAGTGCAATCTGTTCAAATGGCTCTAAACGATTCCAGACGATGAATATGGGTCTTTCTTTCTTTCTTAAAACAAAAACAAAGTCATTTGGTTCATTCAGGAAAAAGTCACGAACGCGCATCACACCCTAACCCTAACAGAGCAAGGCGACCAATTGAGCTTATGAAATTATTATTATTTTTTTTTAAGTGATCGTTTCGCTTGATAAGACCCTTATTCATCGTCTGGAATCGTTTAGAGCCCTTTGAACAGTTTGCACTGAAACTGTCTTTGGGACCTTGAACCGTTTGGTTCCCATTGAAGTCCATTATATAGAGAAAAATCCTGAAATCCTCCAAAGACCTTAATTTCTTTTCGACTGAGGAAAGAAAGACATGGACATCTTGGATGACATGGGGGAGAGTAAATTATCAGCAAAAGTTTTTTTTAAAAGTTTAAGTACACTTTTAAAATGTGTAGCCTATTTTGTTATTTAAAGTACATTTTAAAAAAGTGTATTTTAAATGTACTAAATTGCAGCTTCTTCATCTTGAATATATTTTAATACATGTCCTACAGTTTCAATCAATGGAAAATGACATACATTTTTAATAAATGTCAGTAGAGACAGAGTTAATTATGTTATTACATAAAGATGTACTGAAGCCCTGCTTATGTCCAGTAAAACAATTTAACATGCAATTAAGTGTCCTACTCCTAAACATTACATTCTATTCTTTTAAAGTATATTACTTCTTTCATTTCATTAATTAATAAAGCACAAATAAACACAACAAAAATTGACCGCTGTGCTGTACAAATGAAGAACTATAAAACAAACCACACACAATACAGTAATAATAGACAATAAAATACTAGTTTCTGTAATATGTACTTCATTTTTTTAAAAATACATATTTTAGGTACTGGAACTGTAATGGGCCACAATTGTGAATCGGTGTGTTTAACTTTTTTTTTATCAGTGGGCAGGAGATGCATAAAAAAACCCTTCTATCTCAGTATATGTGAGCTGATAAAAAAATGCATAGGTAAATCCTTCTGAAAGTAAAAATAGTCTTAATTTCTTTGGATGAGTGGCTAGTTAGTTAAAGATATGGGCTGGTAATTGAAAGCTTGCAGGTTTTAGCCCAAGTTGCTAATGATATTTTCCAATTCAGCAATTTGTTATTTTTTCTACACAGCGCTCGCACACAGTCACTGCACACGGCTGTTTAAGCATGTCCACAGATGACAGCATCTCTGAGGACGTGTCCAGCTCTGTGGCTTTGAGCCACGATCAAATCAGTGCCAATGGTGGGAAAGAGAGCGAGGCGTCCATCGTCTCCTCTGAGGACACCGTATCGGGTCTCCCCGAAGAAGAGCACTCTGCGTCCCACCCCGAGGGCTTCCTTCAGGCCACAGAAGGAGCAAACCGACCCTCCGCCACACCAGCATGCAGCATTTCCAACAAAATAAGGTCTGTGTTTGTTCATGTGATGTTTACTGTTTTTAGTTTCACATTGATAAGCTGTTTTAAACCCCCCTGGGTGTCTTTCTCCTCATGTCACATGCTTTAGAAATCTGTGTCTTCGCACTGAGGAGGAGTTCAGCTCAGGGAGAAGTTTACCCTTCATCAACCCAAGCTCTCTCGAGACCCTCCGAGCCCTGGTCCAGGAGATCCAGAGCAGTGGGGAGACCGACCCTGAGATTTGGAAGAACTGTGAGGTGCGCAGATGTCCACGTTCATTCCCTCATGTGGCGTTATGAA